GCCGCACAACAGAACTGGGACCTTTATACTAAATTAGCATAGGAGACACAAAAAGCTTGTAGGTTAAACTTCACACATAAACCGAGACACCGCCGCGCCAAAACAATGAGGAATGAACAAGCTGTTTTGCTAAATTATCTGTTAGTTTTTTGTTAGGGAGCGATTGCGATCTACATTTGACACAGCCTTTTATTTATGTTTTTCTCATACAGCCCACGACATATTTATATATCATTATTAAATCTGGCTGGCAGATTGATCTTTCGGTTTCACAGAATTGAAAAACACTTGATCTTATTCTGCTAAAAAGCACTGCCAAGTTTCACCACCGACATCAGTGATATTGGACAAAAGTATATTGATTTTCTGATTTAAATTTTTGATGCAGAGATACACACAAGCAAAAATTATATTCATTAAATGTAACTGAAGTGCAAAAATAATTCTATCTGCTCAATTTTTGTTCAGCTAGTATTATCTCTCTTCCCCACACTTCCAGGTAATTTCAGAGTTATTGGCAGTGCTTGTGGTCAACCAATCAGCAAGCTATCGCTAAGCTCCTCCGCAGTAGTTCATATTCTAACGAGAATATCTAGTCAATGTTTGAATTCAGGGGCTGCATTTGAAGACCGAATGTGTCAGAGCGACACAAGGCTGCTCCATTTGAAAGGCCCCTTCAAATGCAGCCTTATTCTCTTGCCAGAATCCCAAGATTCATTGCGTGAACCTTCGAAGGACACAGCCTGCAAAGGGTACTTTTAAAGCCCTAGTCTGGAGTAGGTACTAAAGGGTTCGGGAACTGCCTCAGAGGAAGTACAGTCGGGCCGAGTTCCTGCAATGTGAACCTGACAGAAGTTCCTAGTTCTGGAAAAAAGTTCTGGTTCTGCGGTGTGAAAACGCCTATTTACGGCTTCTCTGTGTGTTACTATTAAGAGTTCTTCCTCTGATAATGTTTGTTCTGTATTTTTGGGTGTATTTACGGCATGAACTATTGAATGTTATTGAATTATAACCAAATCTTTTATTGGAAAACACTGGATGTCCAACTGGTCTCTCTAGCAGCAGCGGAGAACAGCTTCCCTCTTAGTGGTACCTTTGTCAGATGTCCCAGTGGGAGATGTGGTTGGTTTCATTCTGCTTGTGTCCTCTGCTCGCCCCATCAGCCCTGGCCACCCAAGCTGGAGTGGAGCTGCGTAGGAAGGGCTCCCAGATATCTACAGACACTATGGTCTCCAACCCCATGTTTGACGCCAATGAGTTCCCAGACAACTACGAGTCGGGAAGGGCGGAGGCATGCGGGACACTATGCAGGATATTTTGTAGCAAGAAGACTGGGGAGGAAATTCTTCCTGTCTACCTCTCCAGGTAACTTTCAAAGAAGGCCACAATATTAATGCAATAAACCAAGATGAAGACTTAACCTTAAATCTTTACAGGTCTGCTTTAGATTTCGTTGTAGTTTGACCTGGCAATTTCTTCATCAACTAAATGGAGACGTTCTCTGCAGGTTTTACATGGTTCTTATCCAGGGTCTTCAGATCTCCGAATTCATCTGCCGCCCTGTGCTGGCCAGCATTATCCTTAACTCATCTGCTCTCTTCTCTTCTGACCTGAAGGGGATCAATGCCGTGGTCCCTTACTTTATCTCTGCACTGGAAACTATTCTGCCTGATCGGTGAGAACTCTTATTTACATTAACCTGTTTCTTAATTGATGGGTGGCACACTGCTTGTGTAGGTAACGACATAGCCTGACATCTTCAGGGTTGTGAGGCTCGATTCTCTCCTCCTGTGTGCATGTTCTTCCCAAGTTTGAGTGAGTGGGTTTCTGTAGCCTGCATGCACACCCATTCTGTTCTGGGTGTCCCCTGCCTTGTGCTTTGTGGGATACACTCCAGGCTCAATATGACCCTGTATTAGATTGGCTGTCAGTGGCTGGAAGATGGATAGATAGATGGATGTACATTCATTATATTGGGTGGAGCCTCGACTCATCAATTAACTATATCTTGGTAATTTGAGACCGCTGTATAATTTTGCTAGCTTACATTGTTAATGGGCAGATGGTTGCTCTTTGCTTATCTTTTTTTTTCTATTCAATGGGATATGTAGTCTTTATTCAAAATATTATTATGCGTCCTAAAGCATTAGCAATGATTTAGTTGAGTGAGGCAAACACATCAAAAGTGTTTTTCTGTTGATGAGCTGCCCTTTAGGTTTTTGGGTTGAGGGTCCACAGAATGCTCCTGATAGCTTTGGATTCCCATGTTCAGGGAACTGTCCAAGTTCAAGACGTACGTTAATCCGACGGACCTGAGAAGAGCCTCCATTAGCATTCTGCTATCGATGCTGCCCCTCCCCCATCATTTTGGAAACTTGAAGTCCCAGGTAATTTGGTAAATCTTTTCTGTTATCAAAAGCTTTTGGAGCCACCTGGAGCCCCTTAAGGTCATCCAAACACTTCTGCTGCGGCTTCTTTGTTCAGTGGTACTGACCCATCAGAGGGCATGATGTCCAAAAGTAGATCATGATTAGCAGGTGTGTCGTTCGTCTAGTAGTTCTTCTAGTATGGATCATAAAGTCCAAATTCATTCTTCCTGATTTTTCCAGGTTCTTCTGGAAGGGAAGTTCAGCAACGATGACAACACGTACCATGACAAGCCTGTGACATTTCTCTCCTTAAAACTGCGTCTGATTAACATTTTGATCGGTGCCCTGCAGACTGAGACTGACCCCCACAACACACAGATGATTCTGGGTTGGTCCCCGTTGCCATTTGAATTATGACTGGAGATACATATTTGTTGTATTAAATTTTTTTGCAATTATTTTTTTATAGGTGCAATGCTGAATATTGTCCAGGACTCTGCAGTTTTAGAATTGACGGGGACCCAGGCTGAACTGGTAATGGCTTATTTGGCATTCCCTTCTGCCGTTTCATGACACTTTCCAGTAGTGCGCTACCTGAATGAGTCTTACAAGGAGCTAAGTTGACCTGGCTTGTCTGGCTCGGCAGCAGACGTGGTTAAAAATCCACGGCCCTCTTCCTCGGCAGGTGCCGCAGGGCAGCGGCGAGAGCTGTCACGTGTCAGCGAAGAGCCACAGCAGGAACAACAGCGGCATCAGCTCCACCAGCGGGGGGAGCTCTGATGTCACCACCCCAGACAGTGAGCGACCAGCTCAGGCCCTCCTCCGGGAATATGGTACAGTACCTAGTCAAGCAGATGTTAGCAGCCGTTTCAGGTCTTGTCTCTCTTGTGGAATTTGTGCTGGATTTGTTTGCAATTTTATAGTATGTTGCTATATATGCTGGGTCTATCAGATCATTTAAACCGTAATATAGTAGTTTAACCCTAAATCCATACACTGTTTATTTCTTATTTCCACAGCTAATATACATATAGAAATAATTTGTATGTTATTCACCCTCTTTTTTTTTAAGCAGTCATGGCAACTGTGATTTGGAGATGTAAACAAAAAAACTCTGGGTAAAAATGCATATGACCCAAGCTTGATTTTTGTGTTATGTTTGGAGTGGTGCTGTGCCATTTAACCTGTATAAAGACGATTTTATGAGTATTCTGATGCTCTCTGCTATAAAAATGGAACGGTAGATGCTTGTTGTGATGTGACCTTTCAGATGATAGACTGCTACATTGGTAGTAGCTGGATTTGAACACTCCCATACAAACAAAAGCGTCTCATTTTCATCAAAAAGGTTAAATCTGCACTTTGATTTAGCATTTTTTTCCACGGTTAAAGAGGCTGGATACCTCAGAAGATGCCCTCTTTTCACGCAATGAAAATGGCAGCCATTTTGGGAGGTCAGGTGGAGGCATCAGGAAGGACTGATTGGATAGTGAGCTGGATTAGCGTTAGTCTTAGGGCTGCCGTGATTAGTCCATGTAGTCGATGATGTCGACGCTGAAAATGCGTCAATCAGTATTTTAAATTAACGCATCGTTTCTTAAAAATTTATTTTAATGAAATCGCCTTTATGATTTCTAAAATGCTTCGGTTAATTATAGCAAATGATTTCTTTTAGTATCACTATTTAATTATTGGAGTAGTTCAAATTGTCACAAAACAAAAAGGTGGTTTTACACTGTACAAAGTTTCAATGGCATACCACAGTGACATTAGCGCTATGTACGAGCGCCTGAAAGGGAAAAAAACAGGCGCTCTTCTGGATGATGAACCGCCAGAGTAGGCAAAACCACCATAAGTGTTGTCTACTCATATTTATTGTTACCATTAGTATGCAAAGCTTTTAAATATCTTTTGCCCTTATAGTTGCCAAATACTCATTATGAAACCCATAGAGTTACATGCCTGCTACCTTAGAATCTTCATTGAATAAGTGTTTGAGAAAATGCTGAGGCTAAAATCTGGGCTTATTCTTCCTTGATTGACTTTAGCGGTGTTTTTGCATTGGGCTTGTTGGGACCAGTGTTATTACTGTAAAATAAAACTGAAAGGAAAACGGAAACTAGTTTTAAAAAATCTTACCTAAAAAACGTGTCGGACATCAATCAGCAAACAGTACCGCCATCTCACTAACGACTTTTTTAATCTAGTTTAGCCACAATATCTGCTCTTTTAAAAGGTGATGTAGTTGCTAAGCTGTAACTTTCTTCACCACCAATTCAGTGCTCATCATTTCCGTGATATACCAAGATAGTAGCATGTGGTGCTCCACTAACCGATTTTAATAAGCATAAAGACATGTGGAATTTATACAGTTTACTAACTTTTGCACATCACAATCGGCATGTCATTGATATTTTAGGCATAGTACTACTCTGCCTATGGAATTGTGGGTGAAGATAATGTGTGTGTATAGTGCAGAGAAGCCAGTGTTCATTATCTAAAGCTGTGCAATGACATACAGTTTGTTTTTGTCAAAATAAAATTACCTTAAATTAAATGGTCAACTTGATTTTCTGGAGGAAAATGAATCACTTAGATCAATCAACCAATCGGTAAAATAGTCAATAGATTAATCCATAGAAAAATAGCCGTTAATGGCAGCCCTAAGTTCATCTTAATGAACAAATTTACTCATGGCAATAGTAATCCATCCATCCATCTATTTTCTGAAACCGCTTGTCCAATTGAGGGTCGCGGGGGGTCCAGCGTCTATCCTGGAGGTTACAGGTGCAAGGCAGGGAACAACCCAGGATGGGACGCCAACCCATCGCAGGGCAGTAGTAATCAAAATCCAAAATCATTTTAGATCTTTATTTACTTTTTAAACTTAATTTTGACAATATTTTGTGTGTTTTGACCTAATGTATGGCTGCTGCTGTGTAACTTACCCATCCTGCTCACAATCTGTAGAAACTCTCTTTGGTTTGGACTTGTGGGTTGTGTGAAATACTTGTCTGTTGTCGTTTCCATCTCCGGGCAACTGATATGTTGGGCCTGGGGTACTTTAATGATGCGGAATTTGACAAATTGTCTGCTTTATATGGCTCTGCTGTTGATTACTAATGCCTGACGATACCTGTCTCTCCTTGTTTGCGGTGCTTTGCGGGTCCCGCCGTAGCTCTTCATACAGACACGGCTACCGGCCTCCTGATTCGATGCATCCACCTGGTCACCCAGAGGCTCAACTCGCAGTGGAGGCCCGACATGAGCATCTCACTGGCAGCTCTGGAGCTACTGGCCGGCCTGGCTAAGGTACCGAACTCTGTGCAGGCTCTGTGCGGTTTGACCGCAACAGTACGCGGTTTGACGTATGGTTGTCCAGTTTGTATCTCTTTGGAGCTGCTGAGTCATCTGATATACAAAGTTTAAATTGAAACGCGCCTCAGGTTTGTATTCTGCTTCCGCTGTTCAAGTTCAAATGAAAGTTTGAACTTGAAAAGTGCATTTTCGTACATCACGAAAGGCACAGAGCCTCGGTCACGTGACTTCCTGCCGGCTGTTCATTCCCTCACGCAGGTGAAGGTCAACGTCGAGTCCTCGGACAGGAAGCGTGCCGTCAGCTCCGTGTGCGGTTACATCGTGTACCAATGCAGCCGGCCCGCACCCCTGCACTCCCGGGACCTGCACTCCATGATCGTGGCGGCCTTCCAGTGCCTGTGCGTGTGGCTGACAGAGCATCCCGACTTGCTGGATGAAAAGGTATGAGACCCATCTCCCACAGCGTCGCCATGACTCAGCCCAGCCACCAGGGCGGCGCTGTGGGTCATCACTCCCCCATGTCTCCTTGCAGGACTGCTTGATAGAGGTGCTGGAGATCGTAGAGCTGGGTATATCGGGGAGTAAATCAAAAACCGGTGACCAGGAAGTGAGGTACAAGGGTGATAAGGAGCACAACCCGGCCTCCATGAGGGTCAAAGATGCGGCAGAGGCCACGCTGTCATGGTGAGGGGGGCGGGACTTATTTTTTTAGGTCTTCAGCTTGGCTCGGTGCCACTTTAATGCCCCCCCTTCACCTCTGGCATCCTCTCGACAGTATCATGCAGGTCCTGGGTACGTTCCCCACCCCGAGCGGCCCAGCATCCCCCTGCAGCCTGCTAAACGAGGACACCTTGATCAAGTACTCCACTGGCAGGAGCAACTTCCGTTACTTCATTCTGGATAATTCTGTCATCCTAGCAATGCTGGAGCAGCCTCTGGGGAATGAACAGAGTAAGTACCCCCCCCCAATTCTGTCATGACTAAATCACCAGCTGCAGTTTCTACCCTTTGAGTACAAATGGAGTCCCTGTAAAAGGTGGGTGTCTTTGGCCTTTTCTGCTCCACATAAAAATAATAATTACTGCAAATAACACAGAAATGGGTCATTTCAGGAGTATAACAGAGGGGGTTGTTAATTGTAAAGTTTACTTTGCATGTTCTTTTAAGCTGTTTAAAGAACTCTGTGTATGCACCAGCTGTATGTGTAAGGGCATGCTTTATGATTCAGTAGGGTTAGGGTCATGACCCGGAAGTGGGATTTGGGACCATTTTCACTGGGTCGTGGAGTGTGGGTCTAAAAAAAACAATTTTCAATTTACTATTTTTATACACTTTTTTTTTTTTTTGTGAAACTAATTTTTAGTGACACAAATTTGGTCGTGACTTTAATGACCAAGTGAATAATGTAGGTCCTGAGGCTAAACCAGTTGAGAACCACTGGCTTAGGTATCTAAGCCTGTGACCAGAAGGTCATGGGTCCAAATCCTGTCCCCAGCACATCAGCATTGGTCCCTTGAACAAAACTAAAATGTAATGAGTGCACTGAGCTGTATGTGTGAACAGCTTTTCCCAGCACTCTGCTTGACTCTGCTAAACTCTAATAGTGTTACTGTGCCCCCTACAGACCCCTGCCCGTCCCTGACTATGCTGATTCGCGGGATGTCTGGGAGACACGCCTGGACCATGCAGCTCTTCCACCAGCCCAGAGGGGCCCGAGCCAATCAGAAGGTATGACATAGGCTTGCGTTCCTATGGCTTCGGCACCATCAGGTTGTGGGGTCAGGCCTCTGTGAGATTTACTCATATACTTCATATCACTAGGTTTTAGAGCCTCAGTGTGGGGGGGGGGGGGATCTCCTGACAAACCTACTCATCCCCGTTCTTTTCCCAATGCTGACAGCAGGCGTTTGTCCCCGAGGGCCGGCCCACACCCAAAAATGACGTTGGCATTCGGTTCAACGTTAAGCATAGACCTTTTCCAGAAGAAGTGGACAAAATTCCATTCGTTAAAGCTGACCTCAGCATCCCGGACCTACATGACATTGTAAATAAGGAGGTAGGTGTCTTTATTGATCATGGTTTGCTTACAAAAACCCATTGTCAGTATATATACTAATCTTTTATGATATTATTGTGTTAGTGTTTCAGTCAGTATATAGTAGGGGGGTGTATTTGTTATATTTTTTCTTTAAATGGCATTGTTATACAGTAAAAAAAAAAAAAACAGAAGGGAGCACATATGGATCTGGTGGCCTGGCAGAGTTAGCTTTGCATTTGTCAGAAGCAGAATCCGCCCTTTGGTTCCCAGCTGGAGTTGCACCACGACAAGCTGCGGAATGTGATGGAGAAGCAGGTGGAGTACGAGGCCATTCTGGAACGCCATAGCGAGGAGATCTGGAAGAAAAAGCCCTTCCCAGACCCGCTGGTGGACTGCAGGCCGCCCCCCTCTTCGCAGGAGTTCCAGAGCGCCCGCCTCTTCCTCTCTCACTTCGGTTTCCTGTCCCTGGAAGCCCTGAAGGTACGCTGAGAGTGTGTGGTCTGCAAAGTGGGGCCTTCTTCACTATGTATATATCATTTATCTCCTTTACACACGGAAACAATAGGCTGCCTGGGGAGACGTCAATTTAACAGTTTAACGAATCGGTGATTTAAGTCATTAATTAACATAATTAAGACCTACCGTGTTTCGTTTTGCTGTTTCAGGAGCCAGGCAACAGCCGACTGCCCCCTCACCTTATTGCCCTGGAGTCCTCCCAGCCCAGCTTCTTTGAAGACATCAGATACCTGGACCTGCTCCCCTGCCGGCCCTTTGACACAGCTTTCATCTTCTACATGAAAGCGCGGCAGAAGAGCTGCCAGGAGGTAAAGGGCTGCGGGCCACAGAATGTCGAGGCTGGGCGGGCAGAGCCTGAACCCATTCCCTTGTGCCGCTTGTCTGCTGCAGTGTGCTAGCTTTGATTATTACAGTGGTACTTCAGTACTCCAACTCATTAGAACTCGAATTTCTTAAAAGTCGAACCAACCAGTTCGGAAAAAAAATGACCTGGAACTCTATCTGAATCTCAGAAGTCGAACCGTGAACGCCAACCTAAGATACGAGTCACGCGGCACGTCTCTCAGCGGAATCAAAGGGTAACGCTTCAGTCTCAGCCTCGCATTCGCTGTGAGAGCATCATTTGCTGATAGTGCTTTTTTAATTGAAAGTATCAGGTAATACACTGTACTTTATATCATTTTGGTATCCATTGCTCACCAAAAAGTTATGCAGTAGTTGTACAAATGTTACAACCTAAAAATTTGCAATTTACGAACAAATTATTGAATACAGAGTAATAATAAAAATAAACAATGGACCGCATAGCATAGTTTAGTGTTGGCGCAGTGTTGGGGCATGGCTTGGGGTAGTGTTGGGGTACATTCTTTATCGTTTTGGAAGCCCTTAAGAAAAAAATGTTACGCACGTTAAACAGTTTTGCCGCAGTGTTTGCAAGAAATTGCGAAAATGTGTTCAGTATATGCTCTTCTTATTTTATCCTGTTCATTTTGTGTTTAAATGCTAAAAAAAACATATTTAGGTGTAATTTTTTTGAGGCCAGGAACCAATTAATTGGTTTTCCATTATTTCTTATGGGGAAAATTCGATCAGAACTCGAGCTTTTTAGGATTCGAACCCGAGTTCTGAATGGGTTAAGTTCAACTCCTGAGGTACCACTATATTGTTGTTATTATTCATTACCAGATCTTGAAGAACGTAGAGTCCTCCACCAACGTCCAGCAGCACTTTGTGGAGTTCTTGTTGTCTCTGGGCTGGCCCGTGGAGGTGGGCACGCACCCGGGCTGGACAGGCAGCGCATACACCAGCTGGTCCATCAACACCTGCAGCGGCGCCGAATTCCAGCGGCGTGGTGAGTGCCGTCACCTTCCAGACCTCGTTATCCTTTCGGAGAATGCCGGGTCGGTCCTTCGCTTGCTGGATCTGCCCTGAGTCTCGCTCTTCTGACAGATGAAGCAGTTGTTTTGGGCGACACGGGTGGCGGCGTCTTCAACGGCGAGAAGAGAGTCCTGTACTACGCCGACGCCCTGACGGAAATCGCCTTCGTCGTCCCCTCGTTAATGGACTCTTCTTGTGAGTGACATTTTGCAAGGATTCACTCATCGAATCAAGTCAGTTTTGTAATTCATAACCTGCTCCCAATGATGCACTTTAACATGGTGTATGTGTCATCTTTATTCATCCTCATTATCAATATTCTGATGTTATTTTTGTTGTACTGTCTTTTTAAATGTATTATATACCTGCGGAAGACTAATGTTGTTATTAAGAGACTTCACCCCCCCCCCCAATCCCCTACCCCCAACTTTAGCTGAATCACCAGAGAACAGTCTGCCTACCAAAGAGGCTACGTCTCAGATGGATCTACTGCCCAGCATGCTGAAGCAGGCCAGCCTGAAGCTGGAGCTGTTCCCAGACCAGTCAGAGAACATTGCTCCCGCCCAAAGGGTAGGCCTCAGCAAAGACGTATTATGCTGCTAAAATAGTCCCAGACAGGCAGGTGTGATGTGACCAAGATACCATTACAAAAATACTTCAGGTGCAGGGTAAGCCAGCAACATTGAGTCTTTTTTGCGGGGTGTTTGCAGCCATTGTGTTGATGTTGGCAGAGTCCCACCGTGAAGGCCAGGAAAGTGACCCCAGGAAGGTCGCTCCCCCCCCTGGGGCCGGAGACGAAAGTGCTGGTTGTCTGGGTCGAGCGTTACGATGACATTGGTAAGGGCCGCCTTGTTTGGCGTGGGCCAGTCTGACGAGAAATCCCCCGTTTAATATTCTAGAAAACTATCCAGTTATGTTTAAATCCGAATTGCAAAACTATGCTCAATTTCAGCGAGCCAGTTTGGTTTTTTGTGATGCAGTGGTATTGCAGAATTTTTTCCCAGCATTTTTTTTTACCTCCCAAAAACATTCACACCTACCTGAAAGAGGAATGATTTCTTATTCTCCCCCCTCCCTCGTAGAAAACTTCCCTCTTTCAGAGCTCCTGATTGAGACCAGCACAGGGCTGGAGACCCATACTACAAACAGCAGTACTTCTTGCAGGTACTATTAATATAATTCCCTTGTGTTTAAAACGGGGAATCTCACAGCCACCAACACAGCATTCAGCATGCTTCATCGTCAGACTGATCTTTACGAATTTGCAGTTTATTTGTTACTATTTCGTTTTGCTAATAAAAAAAATAATTGCTCTCCACTCAGGTCTGTCACATCAGAGAAGGACGTGCTGGTCATTTTCATCCATCCTCTGAAGACAGGCTTGTTCCGCATCAGGCTGCATGGCGCTGTGGGAAAGTTCAACATGGTGGTTCCCCTGGTGGACGGGATGGTGGTCAGCAGGCGGTCTTTAGGTCAGATTCCAGGTGTCCATTTGTCTGGGTGGGACACTCTTCCTGGGTCTGTGTGACATGGAATTTAGTTTGAGAGACAGGGGGCAATGAAAACAAAACAGTGCTTCTTTGGCAGTAGATTTGGAGGGAAACTGATAGCAGAAACACCAGAAGGCAGTCGGGTTCCTGGTCGGGCATCAGGACCTATGAATGTTTACTGCTGGGAGGAGAAAAGAAACATATCTTTAATAAGCATCGTTGAATAACAACAACTGTACAAAAGTATCAGGCAGTCAAAGAAAATGTTTAAAGCTATTTGTCTGGGTAATAAGTGTGTATATAAGCTAACAAGAATTTCTTCTGTTCTCAAAAAAAGTGACTGATATCTTGTGGGCTGGGTAGAACATCACTAAAGCTCCCAAACCTCTCCTCAAATTGATTAATTTATTGATTGGTTGATTGGTTGAGTGATTTAGATTACATTACATCACATTACATTACATTAACCGCTCGCTGTGGTATTGATTGACCAAACATGGTTGCTGCAAATCCTGGGCTGACTCTGGAGAGATTTTCAAATGGCTGACACACTTTGACAGACCTCAGTGTTACACCTAGGTGAAGATCATTTTTGCTGAACACCTAAGACTTTTGCCCAGTGCTGAATAGGACATTTCAGCATTTAAAAAAAAAAAGTATTTGGAATTAGTCAAGAGTGGGGGTCATATCTAAGTGATGTTTCAGCCAGAACACATGATATATGTTAGGTGGCATTACCCCAGTGACAACTGCAGAGAGGAAAGGAGCTTGCAGTGATTACAGTGCGTTGCCACACCCACCACATGATAAACCACCTCAGGGATGAGAACCTGAGTGCAGCCATGTGACAGGTGACACCTCAGCACCACACTAGTCCGAATGGACCAGTGTGAGTTTTTTTCCGGTGGCTGAAGTGCCAATCCTGCCACCAACCCTACGTTGGAGGACCTTCTTATAGGACTGGATGTAGATTAACGTCATACCCAGGGTGAAGCAATTGCAGGTTAAGGGCCTTGCTCAAGGGCCAAACGGAGTGGAATCACTCTGGGCATTCACGGGATTTGAACCCGCAACCTTCCAGTTGCTGGCACAGAGCCCTAGCCTCAGAGCCACCACTCCTGCATATATCTACAGAAAATGACATTTTCCTTTCGTTTTCCCCCATTCCTCCTTTGCTCATTTCAGGGTTCTTGGTGAGACAGACAGTAATAAACGCTTGCAGACGAAAGAGGCTGGAGAGCGACTCCTACAGCCCACCTCACGTGCGGAGAAAGCAGAAGATTGCGGAGATCGCCAACCGATACCGGAACAAGCAGCTGGAGCCCGAGTTTTACACGTCACTTTTCCAGGAAGTGGGCGGGGGGAAGAGCAGCCAATGAGCTGCAGATACCAGGAAGATAACTGGGTGCATTCTTTGCATTTCTATGCCAGTTTGTTTCTTTATACCAGCATTTTGGTAGCCTTTTGCTGTATGAATAAAATCTCCCAGAAGGATCAGCAGCCTCAGAAGCTCCGCTCCCCACTGAGGACGGATGCAGCCACGGACAGAACTGTATTTACAAGCAGAGCATCCTCCCAAATAAGCAGAGGGAACCAGAGAGGCATAGAGCAGGGTGCTTTTGTCACTAACAGTGCAAGTGCTTGTGACACTGGTGTCCAGACGTGAGTTCAAAACCAAACAGCTTAGCTAAAGGTGGAGAGGTCCACCAGTCTTTTTTTTTTTCCATGAAACAACAACAACATTATATAGACAATGTTTTAGCTGTCTAATTCTGCCCTGACATATTTAAAATTATTATTTTATGTATTACAACCTTTTTTGGGATATTAGTTTCTTTTTTAGACATCATTGAATGTGAAAATGTAGTTTATTCTAATTAATACAAAAAATCCATTATAGAATTATTTATTAATATTAAAAATAAGATTTAGCACATGAGTATAGTCCACTACTATACTAATAGGCTATTTTAATGCTGCACTACACTGTAGGTATAAATAACATTACATTGTAATAGTTCTCCTTTCATCCGGAAATGAGAGAAATCTTGTTTTTTTGACATCTTATAATATTTCTGTCTTTTGATAAAATCTCAGGCAGTTTGTTGTGTTCTTTATGCATTTATTTCACCTGGAAATTACTTCTATAGATATTAACCAGCTGACCTCCGTTTTGGGCATTTGCGTTGTATCCCCCCCCCCACCCCCCATCTTCATTACAGTCTCCTGTTCCTTAACATATACTGTCCTACTTTAAAAATAAAAAAATGTAGCTTTAAAACTCTGTTACTGTCCCAGTAGAAATAACAGTTCTTTTTAATAATAATGATTTTGAACTTATGCTACTGTAGATTTTTTGAAATTGTTTTGTGTTTGCTTAAAAGCCAAAATGACATTACTTCTTGCCTGAGTCACTAGTTCATTTCGGAGTGTCTGTTCTACCAAGGCGGTTGGGCTGGGTTTCCTGTAATGCCTGAGAAAAGAATTTGCAAACAGGCAGATTGTTCCAATGCTGTTCTAAGCTTTCCAACCTATGGGCGTCGTCTTCCCCATTTAAGGGCTGGCATGCTGCTTGTCACATCTTTCTGAGTAAAAGATCATTTCCATCTTGTTTCAATCATTAGTCTCTTAAGGGAAAATCCCAGTTCTAATGTTGCTGGACATTTCAGTTACAGTTTTTCTTACTGAAATATGTAAGTGATGCAGAAATATCAGCAGGCTTCATGAATTCGCAGGTGTATGAGAGCTTAGAATTTCTTTAAGAAGATAACCTGATTTTAATTTTAACTTGAACCGTTTTGGTCCCTGTATGTTTGTTTATTTCTTATTGTGTTTCAAGTTAAAATGAATTCTGCCAAACTTTTCTTGCTCCTTTGCCTTGCAGTTTGGTTATGGGTTCATAGTAAATTAGTGTTTTGCTACTTTTTTATATTTATCAAGGTTATTCATTCTAGATGTTTAGTTCGTTTATGACTGAAATGTGACAGATTCAGGCCTTTTGTTTGTTTTTTTAAATACATCATTCAGTTTAGGTTCTTTTCCATGCTCCAGAGTCTGTGGAAGGTTAAATAACAAAAGCCATTGTGTGTTGTACAACCTTGGTTCAGCACATTGTCTAAATTAGATTTTTTAAAATCTGTTTCTATGAAAGGATGTTTTTTTTTGTAAATATTTGCAGTTTTTAACTTGAAATGTATAAAGCTGGAAGACCATGTACATATAAAGGTGTGAAGTATGTTTTTCGTCTGTTCTCTTTATTCTATAGGAAAATGCTTGTTTTTATTTATGTCAATTATATATTTATAAAATATAGTGTAGTATATTGCATTTTATAATAACGTATATATAATCAATACATATAATATCGAGGAGGTATATATATCCTAGTAACACATTGGATATTGAATGTAACATGAATTGCATAAAAAAAAATTACATTTCTTATCACGCCCAACTGTGTCGTGTCTTTGTTCGTTCTGCTGGGACCTGCTGCTTAGCCTCATCCGTGATATGGCTGCTTGTCCTGCAGCAACACCATTGTCCTTCCTTTATTCCCTAAACCTGAACCAATCTATCTCCTGTTTTGTAAAAATGAAGCCGCAAACTTCTGTGCTTGGATGTTTTCAGTGACAGATCAGTTATGTGTGTTCTGCTGGGTGTGGAGAATTTTATATGTGTCCAGCAGATGGCGCCCTTTCCGCAGCAATACCTGCATAAACAGTAAATCAGCTACATATGTGATATACAGTGGTCCCTCGTTAATCGCGGGAGTTACGTTCTAAAAATAACCCGCAATAGGCGAAATCCGCGAAGTAGGATTCTTTATTTATAAATCGAATATTTTCGTAGTTAGAGCATTGGAAACCTGTTTACGACCTTCTAAATACGGGTTTTAACATTATTAGAGCCCTCTAGACATGAAATAACACCATTACTTTATGACTGCTGGACACGGAAGCAGGAACGAGGAGACGAGGAATAAGGACTGAAGGGTTTATTTGTAATCACTCCAAATGCAGGACACAGGAACATATAACATCAAGACGTCAATGACAGACCTGGGGTTATAGACACTGACGTGGACTTCAAACTGAATCAAATTGACAAAACAGCTGATCACAATCGGGGTTGCATATGTGGTTAATAAGGGGGCGTGGCACACATGTACAAGAGGATCGGACAGGCAGGTCATGACAATTACACTCGTATTACCCAAAATATTAGAAAAAATAATAGAAAATAAGAAATATTAGACGTTATAAATATCATATTGTTATTATTGTACATTTAATTACGAAGAGAAAAGATGCTTCCGATGCGTAGCGATGTATCATTTTCATTGTCTCGATCAACCTTTTAATCAATAGACAAAAAACCGCCATAGAAGCCGCGAAAGTCGAAGCGCGAAGTGGCGAGGGACGACTGTATACAATATATATATATATATAATCAATCAACTAAAAGTATTATGAATGCCCAGAGAAGGGGCCCTTATTAATACTTTAATACTTAAATATTAATACTTAAATTACTTTTTGGAGGAGCTTATTTAAAAACATCTGTCTGGATAAATGATAGCAGGTGTCAATGTGCATCAAGTGAAACTACTCTCATTTTATTATATATTTGTTACTGTGTCTGTTTTACAGCACTTTGCACGCAATTTATAAGGCTACACCGGGATATTAAATGTCTTCTTGTGGTTCTGGCGAGTCCCTGGTGTCCCGGCTGATGTAGCCGGGGCCAGTTGCAGTCCTTTTGGTGCCAAACCCTGCCGGATCTGGTCGTGTTCTGTATTCCGACCGGTTTCCTGGCAGTGTCCCTCCCAGCTCTGAAAGTGCCTGGATGCCATCCATCCACAGCGCCATCGCCGCTACGTCTTTGCAGAGGTGGTCCTCTTGCGCTCCGCATGGTGGCCCTTTGCTAGTGCACTTTGTTATTATCATCTGGCCTAATTCACCATATGCGATCACTGGGTTGCTTGGCACATTAAACTGATTGATGTAATTGTATATAAATATTGCACCAATTCATTTTCATCTTGCCCTTGTCCAGTAGCAGATCTAGAAAATTTTACATGGGGTGGCAAAGAAGTGGCAAGAGATTTTGGCAGGGGGGGCATGGATGACAGTACAGTATGTGGGAGTTCTCATGCAGAAATACAAGTGCACTTCTATAGGTAAATGTACTCAACAAAAGACACAAATACATTTTGACAATATTTATTTTGACATAATGCGGTACCGTGTTTCTTGATTGCTTTGGTACATTTCTCACATGACAATTAACATTTGCTAAGCAACAAGTGTAATCCCTACACCATAATGTCACTTCTGCCCAGCAGAACATCATTTCTCATTGCTTCACACAAATTTCCAAATATTTTAGTACATACATGCAAATGGTTTTGTACAATTGTCAACATTCGGTACAATTTTCATTCGGTACGTTTCCCATTGTAATAATTTTACACCCAAAACAATATATGTACGTGATCATTGTGTTAGTCACCACATGCAATATAGTTAGCCAAGCTTTCAAAATGATTTAAAAATATATTCTAGAAATTGCAGTGATATGTCTTGTAATTTTGGTTCCCATAGTGCATGGTTTTATTGTAATTTTGTTGTTCCTGTATTGCCATTTTATTGTTTTTTACTATGTGATGTTTTTTGAAGACAGCTTAGGCGACGGTTGTTGTGTTGTGCAG